GATGCACTAAGCTGTTCACGTAAGTCAATGAACAGCTTAATGGAGTAGGCACTCCTAATAGCCTTGGTTTTTAGATTAGTCAAGGTGGCTGAAAGAAGTTACTAACTTGCCCAAGATTACATTGGAGGTCAGGGGTTGGAGCCACGATGAGAAGCAGGCTATGTGGCCTGATGACTACGTGTACTGGGGGGCAGTAAAGAAGTCACGCAAAGACAGAGGAGGAACAATTGAAGAAGAGACTGTCACAGTGCTTGGCCACAGGGAGGGTGGGGTGATTACCCTGGGGCCTGTTACTGCTACCCATAAGAATGCAAAGTCCTTCTGGATGAGTTGCCTCTCTTCTTCCTGCTGCTGCTTGCCTCCGGGGTTGCTGCAATAACAGTGGAAACATAAATGCTATTCAGATAATGCTGCTTGCCAGTTGTTGGAGCAGAAGAGGGCTCCCAGTACTCTCCATGGGGTGAGACGAAGGGCAGGAAAGGGGTGATCAGGTGATCTTTTCCGTGCAGGAAGAGTAGTCTGGGGCTTTGGAGACCAGCTTTCCTGTTCCCGGCCAGAAGTTACCATTTATTAGTTATGTAATTTTGGATAAATCACTTAATTTCCCTAAACTTCTTTCCTCAACTGTAAAATGAACATAATATTAGTATCTGTTCAGAAAGTCTGTGGTGATTAAAGTAGGACAGAGTGGACAAGGTGACATCGTCATTGTTTATTACTGTAAAATCCCTTTTTGTCCCTCCCTGACTACCCAGAGCCCAGTGTCTTAAAAATGCTTAGTAACAGGTGCATGCTGGTAGTCCCAGCTACTTGGGAGGCTGAGGCAGAAGGACTGCTTGAGACCAGAAGTTCAAATCCAGCTGGGCAATATAACTAGTCCTAAACAAACAAAGTGCTCGGTAAATATGTGTTGAATTTATTAGTATACATATTTAATAATAAATATGTGTAGACAAAGTAAACGGTTAATCTACTAAAGAACAATGCTCAAAAAATTATTTCTTAAAAAATTTTTTTTTATTGTTTTGGTGTTTTGTTTGTTTTTGAGATGGAGTCTCACCCTGTCACCTGGGCTGGAGTGCAGTGGCACAATCTCAGTTCACCACAACCTCCACCTCCCAAGTTCAAGTGATTCTTCAGCCTCAGCCTCCCAAGTAGCTGGGGCTACAGGCGTGTGCCACCATGCCTGGCTAATTTTTATATTTCATCATGTTGGCCAGACTGGTCTCGAACTCCTGACCTCAGGTTACCTGCCTGCCTCAGCCTCCCAAAGTGTTGAAATTACAGGTGTGAGCCACTGTACCTGGCCTTATTATTGCTTTAATGAGATGGAGTCTCACTGTATTGCCCAGGCTGGTTTCAAACTGCTAGACTCAAGAGATCCTCCCAATTTGGCCTCCTGAAGTGCTGGGATTATAGGCGTGAGCCACCTCACCTGGCCAAGAAATATTCCAAACACTACAGCATCTGCTAAACAACTGAAGTATTAACTAGTTATCTCTTTCTTATCTTACCAAGTTCTCATGTATAGCTAAGAAATTATCCAAGACCAAAGGGAAGACCTCTTTCCCAGACAATAACTTCATTTTGACTAAGGCTTTTGAATACACACAATAGCCCAGATTTCCCTAGCCAATCATACTAGTTTTTTTTTTTTTTTTTCATTCTTTTTTTTTTTTCTTTTGTTAAGTGGGAGTCTCACTCTGTCACCCAGGCTGCAGTGCAGTGGCATGACCTCGGCTCACTGCAACCTCTGCCTCGCAGGTTCAAGTTATTCTCCTGCCTCAGCCTCCCAAGTAGCTGGGATTACAGGTGCATACCACCGTGTCTAGCTGATTTTTGTATTTTTAGTGGAGATGAGGTTTCACCATGTTGGCCAGGCTGGTCTTAAACTCCCGACCTCAGGTGATCCGTCTGCCTCGGCCTCCCAAAGTGCTGGGATTACAGCCATGAGCCACCACACCCAGCCCATACTAGGTATTGATCTGAGATTTACATGCAGTATTCCATTTTGTCCTCACAAGCACCATTTAAGGTAGATTTAGTTTGGTTATATTATTACATATTACATATTAGTCATATTACCTTACTAATGCAACTAAAGTTTAAGAGAGTGAATTGGTGGATGCCATTAACTCGTTGTAAGAGGAAGTGGGTTCCAAGAAAGTAAGTAACTTCTGCCAAGGTTACTGGCCTAATAATAAGCAAAGGCTGGAGGAGAGAAACCAGGTCATTTGATTGTAAAGCCTTAACCACTGTTCAATACGGTGTGCCCAGGTCAGACTCTCTATCTGCAGTTTAGCATTGTCACTGAGAATTCTCCAAAGTAATGTGTTTAAAAAGAATGCACGGAATATCAACCCAACTAGATTCTTGGAGTTCACTACATTATACAAGCTTTCCAAAGAAAGTATCAGAGTGCTCATCTTTTGAGTCATTTATGGTCACACTGGACAAGACACTAGGTACTATATTATGCCAATGGCTTGCTAACTGAACAAAATAACCTCTTCCTCAATCACAATTCCAAGGCCGTGGCAGCCAGGTTATAAAACCTCCTACTCCATTTTACCACTGCTCTTCCATCCAGCCTGGCCAATGCCACTTGTCTGTTGATTTGCACCCAGGCAAAGGCCCAACTTCACAATCCACTCCATAACCTGGCTGGAAATACAAGTCATCCTTAGCACCCTTCCACCCAGAACAACCTCTAGTTGCCTTCTGTTCTAGAGGTTGCCTTCTAAGAGGAAGGGAAGACAGTCACTTCTTGCTCTCCCTGTTTAATGCACCCTAAAAAACACTATTACATTCATTCTTTTCAAACCAGTCACAACATCATGTTGAGATAATCTAGGGGCTTTTTAGTCTGGCGAAGTCCAAACTGAAAGTTCGTTTACTCAAACTTTTTTTAGTGGGGGTTTCTTCGCCTGGTCCTGTGTTAAGCGTTGGAGATACATGAACGAGTTGGACAACTTATTGTAAAAGAGAGCCCCAAGGAGAAATGGGTGTGTACCAGGAGGACAAACAAAGGCATTTTGAGAGCACCTGAGGTCCATTCATTCACTCTCCAGCCTTCCTCCCTTAATCAGTACCCATTCTGAAGCCCCTCGCTCCCTCCTCCACTTCCGGGGTGCAGCAAAAATATTTCCTCAGGGAAGCCTTTTTTGACTCATTGATGGGGAGAGATTCTCCTATATACTCTGTACATTTCCTTCATTTCACCTATCACAATTTTGGTAAGTAGTTATCTGTCTTAATTAAAATGAAAGTTACATGATGATAGTAACTATGGACTTGGTTTATCTTTATTTTTCTATTTTTATTTTTTGAGTCAGGATCTCACTCTGTTTTTCTATTTTTATTTTTTGAGTCAGGATCTCACCCTGTCACCTGCCCAGGCTGGAGTGCCATTGGCATGATCTTGGCTCATTGCATCCTCGACCTCCTGGGCTCAAGCGATGCTCCCACCTCAGCCTCCTGAGTGCTGGGATCACAGGCATGTGCCACCACACCTGGCTAATTTTATTTTTTGTAGAGATGGGGTTCTCACCATGTTGCCCAGGCTGGTCTCAAACTCCTGGGCCCAAGTAGTCTCTTAGCCAAGGCCTTCCAAAGTACTGGGATTACAAGTGTGAGTCACAGCATCCGGCCAGGATTAGCTTTATCTTTTTATGTTAGGCACTAGGAATTGAAGAGCCTCCAGGTTAAGTATTTCGTGAATATTAGTTATATTCGTTACGTCCTTTTCTCATCATTTGTATCTTCATGTATTTGGTCTACCCGATTTCTCCACATGCCCAATACCAGTTTTCAAACTCTGAACTTTCTCACATCTGTTTTGAGTATCTATCAACCATCCATACTTTACAGGTCCACCTTTTATTACAATCTGTCCTGTATGTTATGAGTGAAATTGATTTCCCCTTAGAAATAGGCTCAAGGGCAGGACTATTTCTCAAGGTTCTTGTTTTTTGACCTCTCCTAGGCTAGGGCTCAGCATCTTCTAGCCCTTCATAGACAGTACCTTAGTGCAATTGCAAATGCAGACACTAGCCATTCTCGCATCTACTCTGCAGATAAAATTGCCATTTGTTTAATGACTAGTTTCCCCAGAAAACTCAGTAAAAGGAAATAAACGCTTTTCTGCACATATCCTGGGCCTGTTCCTTTCGGAAGTCGCAAACATGTCATTTTCCTACATTAAGCAAGTTCAGTCCACTTAGGAGAAACAGGAACCACAGCTTCCATCAACATCACCCAAGAATAAATGCACATTGTGTGTTAAGCACCCCTTCCCCTGCTTTCTCATGCAGTGAGAACCATGATACATCAGACTTCCACTTTAGGGATAAATGGCCTCATTGCTGCTTGGGCTCCCTATAACCTTCATTCAACTTTTTTCCTATTTAAAATTCTCACAGGAGCCTGTTTAAAAGCCCAGGCATTTGAACATCACAGGATTGTGGTGGTGGCTTCAGGTGCTGGCCTAGGGAGTGCAGCAGTGGCACCCCATGAACCAGTCTGATGCCACATCCGTTCTCTTACCAACCACTGGCACCTGCATCCCTTATGCCAACAGTGCCATGCAACTGTGTTCACCCATTTTCTGTAATTATGTGGCAAATATGTTCCCTTCATCTGGAATTCTGAAGCCACTTAAGACGCAACACAGATTCCCAGTGGGTTACTAGACTCCCCTATGTAGATTCCATGAGTGTGGCTTCCAGCAATTTTTGCATGGATTCTGAAAAATCACTACGTATTGGAAATTTATGTTCATAAGACATTTTTCATGAACACTGATAGTTTAGCAATAAGTGATTTTCACAAAGTAGATGCAGGGTTTTCAGTCACTAAATGAATTCAACAAAATGTTTACTGTGCAGTACAAAGGTGATACACACTAATATTCTCAGAGAAATTATAGTAAACTGAGTAGCTTGAATTTGGACCAAAAATGTCAGAAAAGGGGTATTTGAGTAAAAAAAAAATAAATCCAGTGAACTCTAATAGATGGTTTATTGGAAACCCTCATAGCACTTTTTCAAAAGAACTTGACAGGTTTTATTTTAATAAGACATAGTGAAGAGGAAATGGCTTAAAAGATATCATCAATCTTTTATTTAAGCACTGCCCTTCATTTTGAAGGAAATGATACAATTTCAAATCGGAACTTCCTTCTCAAGAAGTGATATAAGAATGTAACATTGATTTAACATACAACCTTCAACAAAAATAAAGTTTATACGACTCACTGGGAAATAAAATGCATGTGGAATTTATCCTGTTTGTCAACATAATTCTTCATGAGTCACAAGTATTACAGCCAAGAACAAAGCTTAACGAAAAGCTGAATCAGTTTATAGTTACTGATTTAAAAAACATTTCACAAATAAGATGTAGCTTTCCAAACAAATTCATTTGATGACCATAATCACAACTAGATTTTATTCTAATTTATAAAACAAAAAATGGTTAGACAAGCACATGATATTAAGAGTCTTCAACACAGTGGATTCCATTTTATTAAGAAAAAAAAAATAGAAAACAAGTAGTCCTTAAATTTTCTTAGCTCTCCATAGCATACGTTATACAAAATTAAAGTTTTGCTTCCAAAAATATGTTTCCATGTGGTCGTGGTGTTGTCCAGTGCTATTAGGGCCAAAGCACCAAAGACATGAGAAGTTTAACCACTGACTTGTCATTTTTCATAAAAACTAAACATTTCCTTATAGGTCTGGAGTAAAATCTTCTAGGCATTTTAGTGCTAAAAGTCATTTTAAATTAAATGTGAAATAAAAGCTACAAAAAGTATGAGTTCTTTCAATACAAAAAGTTGTGTAGCTGAAGTTGTGGACTCCTTTGACATACAGAAGCGTTTCAATAAAATATTTGCTCAGGTAAGAAAATAGAAATTTGTCTGCTTTCTTTTAGCATACGTTCCAGTCGATGTCCTGCTTATCCCTGCCAGCTTCTGAAGAACATTAGAATCGATATTTCTTTCCTTCAAAGAGCATCCGTAATTCACAGTACAAAACAGTTCTAAAGTCTTATTCCTAAGGAGAAACAAAAATTATTAAATATGTTTATTTTTTCTAGTGTCAAATGTAGCCATTGCCAGGGCATTACAAACGCACTTATCCACAACACTGCCGGGTTGAGGAAAGAACCAAGAGTTGATTCATTCCCCTTTTCTGTGGCTGTTACTAATTGGTTGTTGCTTTAAGTGTTATAACCCTAAGAAAATTCCCAATAAAAATCACTGTTCTTAAGTGTCACATATTTCACACCTCTGGTATTCTGTAGAAACGCTTGCATTACATGGGAAAGCGGCATCTGAAGAGATCTATTGCCTATTCTAGTTCATTTCCAAGCCTTTTATTGAAAACCTCTTCTCTAGAGGTTTTCAATGTGCTACTACTGATGTGGATTTTGTAGGAGCTCTTCCTTCAAGCTGAGATCTCTTAGAGCAGTTTGCTTATAACAGTCACTGCTATACTTCAGTGTGACCGACCATACATCACTTGCCATTCTGGGACAGAGGAAGGAGACGGGTGGGGGAGTTGAAAAATGATCTGGCTAGCCCAGAGCTGGACAGTGCCATTCTATTCTTCCCTCCCACTTGTCTACACAGTGGTCATTACTACTCGCTCTGTTGCCCAGGCTGGAGTGCAGTGGTGCCATCTCGGCTGACTGCAACCTCTGCCTCCCAGATTCAAGCAATTCTCCTGCCTCAGGCTCCCAAGTAGCAGGGATTACAGGCGCCTGCTCAGCACGCCCAGCTAATTTTCTGTATTTGTGGAAGAGACAGGGTGTCACCATGTTGGCCAGGCTGGTCTCGAACTCCTGACTTCAGGTGATCCACCCACCTCGCCTCCCAAAGTGCTGGGATTACTGGCATGAGCCACTGCCCCCGGCCTACCTTCTATTTTCACTACTGTGTTAAGCACGAAAGAAAATCCAAATCGGTTAGATAGAGCAGGTTCTCCTAAATGTCTTAACCCATGTTTATCTTGTTCTATTCCATGAGCGAAGAGAACACAAAGCTGTGAAAGTATTAAATATGGACACTAGATTTACATTTCCAACAAGAAATTCATCTCCCTCCACAGTCCCAGACCAGGGCTAGAATGTGGTTCATTTTTAACAATCAAAGTGGCAAGATCTGTTTGGTGATCACTCTAAAAACAGGGAACGTAGCTAATGCCCTTTCATATTGAGGTGCTACAAAGATCCAAGCTATTAAAGACTATGGCCTCAACATCCATGTGTGAAACACCTATACTAGAAAATCCTTTAAGTCTTGTTGCCTTAACTTAGAGATCTCCAGGCAACAGGCCTGAGGATAGCCATGGCTGTGGACCACTCAACTATGATTCTATTCCAACTGTTAAGAATCATATCACAAAATGACTTGTACAGAGTAGTTTATAATGACTCCCGAGAGAGGAGAAAAAAAAAAAAAGACACCTCAAAATTCACTCAACTTTTGAGGCAGCAATGGCAATAGGCAGCAGAGAAGCTATGCTGCAACTCAGGGCACTATCATTGAAGATCTCACAGGAGTTTGAGACAGGCTGGAAAAAAAAATCATACTAAGCAAATAGTATCTCATACTAAGCAAAACCGAGTAGTATCTGCTCAGCCTGCCGCTAACATCTCACAATCACCAACTGTGCTTTAGGACTGTCACCAAAGTCAGATTCGGTGCTGACTAACCAGGTGGCATCTATGATCAGCGTTGGCCCTCGTTTTTAACAAAGGGCTCCGAAGGAGGTGTTCTCCAAGCAACAAGGAGACAGCTGCAGTACAAGACTTTGCACCTTGAATTAAATCGCATCAAGTGTGGATAGCAAAAGTAGTATCTTACCATTGAAATATGTGTTCAGCCTAAGATTTTTTACCCACCACCAGAACAAAAGTGAGGGTGAGATGGATGGGCCAGTGAAGGGATGGGGGAAGAAAAAAAAATTACAGGATTACCACCAAAGCCTTGTTTTAAAAGGGCTCCCTTTACTATTCAGGAAAGGGAGTGGAAGGAGAGATTAACCAATTCCTGCCAGGGCAGTCCTTTTTGGCTGCTTCCACAATAGATACTTTATGGAGTGGCACAGCCAACCCTATCTGTGGCCTGCCCTGCGGATGAACACAGCCGAGCAGGTTTAATTAGATCAAAGACACAAAGGGCTATTCCCTCCTTTCATAACAACGCAGCTGTAAGTGCCTACAACAGCAGGGGAGAAACAAAGGCAGCAGAACAGAACCTTAATTGAAATCTTCTCCTGGCTGGCCCTTGACAATGATTTACTTGTAACCTAGGAAGGGGCGGGTGGAGCAGGAGGTAGCAGGAGCCTCAGCTAAGAGCCAGCTCCAGAAGACTAATTACTTGGGGGTTGTGGAGGAGGGAGGTAGCAAAGTCTTTGTAGCCCGAGTTTGCTTAACTATTTGTTAAACTTCATAGGAGACTGCTGTGGTTTTGGTCTGCTGCTCCCAGACCCTGTCATGGATTCACCAGCCCTGCGCTCCAGGAATCCCATAAAATAAATCACCCCAGCCCCGCTGGATCCCACATACAGCTCAGCTCCGCCAAAGGAGATAAGCAGCTTTTGTGCTGGTACCTCGGTGGCGACTCCACAAACCCACTCTGGCCTTTGTACCAGGATTCTTCCAAGCCCAGGATAGGAAGCAATGGCAGTAATGGGTGCTCCGAACTTTTCCCCAACCCCACGTGCTTAAGAATGGCCGATTATAAACCCAGATCTACCAAGGTTTAATAGCCAGGCAAGTCCACAGTTTGCCTCACCGCGGAGAGGAAGACACACTTAGGGGGCCAGAGAGAGACGCCCCCCACCCCCAACTAAAGCGTTTCCTACCTGCTCCCTCTGTCCCCTTCCTCCTCCCCCGTCCACAGCCGGCTGCGCATTTCACCAACTCTTTTCCAAAGGGCCCAGGAATCCCAGATGGGGCCCAGACGGTGGCAAGAGAGGGAGGAAGAGAGGGAGAAAGGGGGCAGCGGCTGCTACTGCAAACAGTTCCCCTTCGCAGCTCTGCGCTCAGCTCGCCCATCAGTGTGCCACCGCCTCTCCGTCCTCCTCCTCCGAGCTGGGCGCAGGGGGGCGCCGGGGAGGCGGCGTAGTCCGCGCCAGGTTGCCGTCGCCCTCCTCCGGCTCCGCTGGGTGCAGGTGCGTGGCGAGCTCCTGAAGCACGGCCGCGCGCCCGATCTGGTCGTTGCGTCGCTTCTCCATGATCAGGTCCTCTAGACTCTGGAACTCTAGCGTGTGGCTGCGCTGCGCCGACAGCTGAATCTGCAGCCGGTAGGGCTGCTTGCCTATGCGCAGTTCGCCGCCGATCTTGAACTCGCGCTTGCCGTAGCGGCACCAGGCGGCGAAACTCTCTGAGTTGCGCCAGCTCAGCTCGCGCTCCTTGGCGCCCACGTGCGCCAGAGCGTTGCGCACTACAGCGCTGGGGCTTAGCGGCTTGTAGCGGTACAGATCGTTGACCACGCGGCCGCGACGGCCCTGGCTGGCGTCAGTCAGGAAGCTGTTAATCACCTCCAGCCGGTGCAGGTGCACCACCTGGAAGTTACCCACATATACCGCCCAGTGCGGGTATTGAGCCTGCGACACGAACTCCACCAGGTCGCCCGGCTTGCACTTGTTGAGCAGGTTCTCAGGTGTGTAGGTACTCAGCACCGCCGAGCCCGGCGCGAAGCTCTTCTGGTAGATGCATTCATCCCGGTAGAACACGGAGCATTCCACTTCGTGCAGCCGCGGATCGTAGGGCTGCGGCTGGGGCGGCGGCGGCCCGTCCCCACCGTCGGGCAAGCCGCCGCCATCTGGCCCCTGAGGCGGCGGCTGCGGCTCCATGTCCTCATCGTCATTGGAGAAAATGTAGGAGACCCCAATGCGGGGCCCGTCGTCCCGGTCCACGCCAGTCGGGTCGGCCGTGGGAACTTCCTTGTAACTTAGGTGGGTCAATTTCTCCACCTGGTTGCCCATCACGCTGCGGACACACGTTCACACCGCCGCGAGGGGAGAAAGCGAAACCACCTCTAGGGTCATTTGCACAGGTCCCCGGACAGGGGCTGAAGCCACCTGTTGGGAGAGGAAGGCAAGAAAGCCATGTAGGAGCCCCTCCGTGAAAAGGGCGTTTTATTCCGAAAAAGAACCGGTGGGGGCTCAGCACCTGGAGCCATTTTAGGGGGAGTTTCGGATGTAGCGAGCTTTCCCTCGTTTCTCCACCTCTAAGGTCACGGTCACAGGAGACTGGGCAACTCCAGTTCTCCCTGTCCCCAGCCCTTCGCCTAGCCCTGGCAAAACCCATTGCATCAGCAGCTTCTACAGCTTCCGCCTGCGCCCTACCTGCCAAGCTTGGACAGGAAGAGGGAAGGAAAGAGAAACTTTACTCCAATCCCCCCTCCTCTGCTAACTTCCCCTCCCACCCTCGGGCCCTAACTAGCCCCTGGGACGCCTCCTCCCCACCAACGCATCCATCCCCAGAGGAACAAGCGAGGATCTCAGAGCGCGACCTGGGCAGGTGAGTCACCCTACCTGGCTCACCTGCAGCGCTACCTCCTCCCGGCTCGCCCGCCCTTCCCCCGCGCCCGCCCTCAGGCTCGGGTTACCTGCGCAAACTCACCCGCGGAGAGGTGGAGGCCGTGGGGCCTGGGGAAGGGCTCCCTGCCGCGCCCCAAGACTTCTAGGACGAGTTTGAAGGTGTAGGCTCCGCAGTCCCTCTCCCGGCGCGGGCGGCAGCGAGGCTGGGCAGAGGGCAGCGCAGCGGGTAGACTGGGGGCATGTCTTTCCCCAGCGGCTGCGTAGCGCCCCGATACTTGAAGGCGGGGGGCAATCCCTGTTCACACCGCGCCTCCTCCCGCCAGCTGGGGCTGCTGCACCTCCTCAGCCAGCTCTCAGGGGAGGTGGGGCGCGCGGAAGGAGAAGACCGCAGCCTCGCAGCCGGGCGCCAACAGCTCCCGCTCGGGCCGGGCGAGCAACAAGCACCGGAGCGGGAGGGACGGGATTGTAGATCCGGCTCCCGGCTGCCGGGCGGGAGCGCAGCCCGTGGCATTTAAAGAGACAGGCGCTCACTCCCCGAGCTCGGGTCTTTTTCACATTGCGCCGAGCCGCCGGGATCCCCGCCCCCCGCCCCGCCCACTCAGGCCGCGGGGCTCCGCCTGGCCACGCCCCCGCGCCGGAGCGGGTTTAAATCCCCCGGTAAATAATCCACCCGCTGGCTAGGGTTGGCGCTGTGAGCTCCGCTTGCTTTCCGGGAGAAGTTAGAAGGCAAACACAACTTGCCAGTGTGGAAATTAGAAAGGGAAGGAGAGTTTGGTGTTTGCGCCTTTTCCCTTTCACCTCTTTTTTCCCAGAGTATCTGGAGACGGAGGAACAGTCGTTTCTTTTCTTTCCTGGAACATATTTCTTGCCCTAAAGGTCACAAGAAAGGATTCTTCACTAGGACAGCTCGAAGAGTGCTTTATTTTAAAGGTATTTTCAGAGTTAGTAGTGGGAAACTTTGGGGTAGAAAAGAAAATCACAGAAAGGAAACAGTATAACACAGAACGAAGACTTATTCACTGACTGGGTCCCAAGACCACCGCTCTATTTATTAGATGTCCCTGGAAGTTAGTACAAAGTTCATAACCTCTGGTATTTCCAGAGGGGTACCAGTTCGTTGGATGGTGAGAGAAAGCGTGCAGCTCTGCTTTTTTTTTTTTTTTTTTCTGGTGGGGGGTGCGGTTAGGGGGATGTAGGAATTGCCTAATTGTCCTTAAATTAGAAACAAATTAGCAGAGGCCCCTGGTGCATATATTTCCTTCCTGTTGACTTAGGGAAGTGACAGGAGACCAGTACTGCCTACTAACCTCCACCACAAAAGGACACTTCCACCTCCCCACTGGTTTCGTTTCTTTTACCTAAATGTAGGCTACCAAAGTGGTTTTGTTGTTGTTGTTGTTTATATTTTTTAAATAATGGGTCGGGTGGGGGTGGAAGATTGACAGCTCTGTTTACAATAAACAAGTTTAGGCACAACTGCAAGCACCCAAACTTATCTGTGGGGGACTTAAAAATGCCATTCAAGACCTGAGCTCTGTCTTCCATTGCTTTCTTTTAACTAATTTTTTCCAGCGTGTATAACCAGCCAGTGGAAACAGGAATATACTATCACTGCTGTGATCCTTTCCAGTTTGAGAGAAAAAAATAAAAATCAATCTACTTATGTAATTTTGAGTCCAAGCAATCAATATTGGCAGGGCTGTGATAGAAATTAGTCCTTCAGCAAGTCTGAGATCACAGTATAAGTTAGATCAACATGAGACTACTGTGTGCTGTGAGATTCTGTTTCAATAATTTCCGACTGGCTGGCCTCAGGCAGGTGTGACCGAATGAGTCCACCACACCCCAGTCCTTTTGATAGCAAATGGTGTGGGGGCTGCTGTTATCTGAGTGATATTTGTTGCCATCATATGATCACCATATTATAGACAAGAGTTAGGCTTGTAGAGATTATGGCTGGTCATCCCATGTTCATGAGATTGGGAGACCTCTGCTACTGTCTGATCTGGGAGGCCACTTTGCTCCTAGGTGCTACTGGGATGGCTGGGAATGGAAGAATTGAGCTGAGAGGACACAGTAGTTTGACAGTTTGCTGCCGGCACTCTAGGTCAGAGATCTGGTGGGTGAGGAAGCAATGCCTGGCTGTCTAGGTGTGTCTCCTTTTGTCTTGATGAGCTGTTGTCAGGTGCACAATAGTGACTCAAAAACATATCTTGAACTGACCAACTATAAAGTCTCAGAGGGAACAAGCCCTGATCCAATTTATATCTGAATGCCTGGAACTGAGTGGGTACTCAATAAATGCTTGATGGATGCCTTAGGGGAAAATTTGGCCATAGGTCAATAATTGCTTCCTGGTTTTATGGGGCAGTAAGTGAGTGAGTGAGTGAAGAAATGTTGCCTTTTGATAGCTGGCCTGTAGTGTAGATTCTTCCATTAATGCCTGTTGAGGGTTCAACATCCATCTTGTCACCTAGAATACTTGGTCAGAGATTACAATATGACTCTCAAACATGCTTTGTTCATCTCAAATAGTTGTTTAATAAATTTAAGCTTGTTGTCAACAATTTGAAAACTTGGGAGATATCATTAAAATATTCACATTTCCAGTTTCATTTGAAAAATTTATAAAGATATGGGACTTAACTGGGCGTGGTGACTCACGCCTGTAATCCCAGCACTTTGGGAGGCCAAAGCGGGTGGATCTCTTGAGGTCAGGAGTTCGAGACCAGCCTGGCCAACATGGTGAACCCCATCTCTACTAAAAATACAAAATTAGTAGCCAGGCGTGGTGGGGCGCGCCTGTAATTCCAGCTGTTTGGGAGGCTGAGGCAGGAGAATCACTTGAACCCGGGAGGCAGAGGTTGCAGTGAGCTGAGATCGCGCCACTGCACTCCAGTCTGGGCGACAGAGTAAGACTCTGTCTCTAAATAAAATAAAATAAAGATGTGAGACAATCAGACCCATGTTCCAGGATGGCAACAAATTGCTGGAGAGAAGTGGTAGTTACCTTGTAGGTGAAATATAATCTCCAGTTGGATCCAGTTCCCATCCCCTGTACCTCACCTACCTAGGTCCCTTGCCTGGTCCAGGAAGCTCTCTGTTGGCCACCTCTGCCATCCAATATCTGTACTACACTTTTTATTACCTGCATATGTGTAACTCAGCACATGATCATATACTATCTGGTATTATTCTCTAATTCAGGTATTAAAATTCATATTCTAATTAATATATTTATTCATGTCTTTTCTAAAGAGGACTTGGTTCAAAATACATTTCATGAAGACATACTAGGTGCCTGCTAGTCTTAATCGCTGTGCATCCAATTCTACAATGGGCACCGTGCTAGGTTTCTTAGATGTTCATGTCCCCAGGTAGTCACCATATTGGAGGAGACAGAAATACATAGACTCTTTGGGACACTGTGACATGTCCTGTAATAAGAAACAGAGGATGCTGAGGCAGTAAGGTGATGTTTCAAGGCACAGTGGATACAGAGATTAATGACAAAGTGCCTGCCAACAGGGTCTTGAGCTCATGGGGGAAACACAACTCTGAAATTAATAATAACTCCCATGGAGTGAGCTCTTGATTCTTTTATAAAGGAGAAGAAAGGTTAGAGAGGCCACAGCTTCTCCCAGCTGGTGGAAGGAAAGATCACACAAGACCGCTTTACTTCCAGGCCCATGCTTTTCATTTTGTTTGTTTGTTTGAGATGGAGTCTCACTCTGTCACCCAGGCTGGAGTCCAGTGGCGTGATCTTGGCTCACTGCGACCTCTGCCTCCCTGGTTCAAGCGATTCTCATGACTCAGCCTCGCAAGCAGCTGGGACTACAGCTACTTGGGCGCCACCACACTGGGCTAATTTTTTAAATAAGTTTAGTAGAGATGGGGTTTCGCTATGTTGGCCCGGATGGTTTTGAACTCCTGACCTCAGGTGATCTGCCCACTTCGGGCTCCCAAAGTGCTGGTATTAGAGGCATGAGCCACTGTGACCACCCAGGCCCATGATTTTAACTTCTTTGTTTTAAATAGAGTCCAACAGATTCTACAATATTTAACAAATATTTGAGTGTCTGGGTTTATCAGACTCCAAGGGATACAGTTGTGGATGTAGCAAAAAACGTCCCTGCTCTTATGGCGTTTACATGTTGATGGAAGGAGGCAAATAATAAATAAGTAAATGGATCAATGGAAATATCTGAGAGAGAGAGAGCAGGGTCATGAAGAAGATAACATAGGGAAATGGGATTGAATAGCTATCAGTGAGGAGAGGGTGACAGGAGTGGCCTAGTTGGCTTAAGATGGTCAGGGAAGGACTCCTGAGGAAATAGAATTGAGCAGAGACTTGAAGGATGAGGAGCCAGCCTTAATATTACCTCCAGAGGGAAGACCAAGAGCAAAGGTTAGAGGGGGAAAAGACTGGAAGTGTTTAGGAAAAAGAAAAGACCACAGTTGTGACCAGAGCACAGTGAGTGAGTGTAGCTATGATAGGAGATGCAGGTAGAAAGGTGGGTGAGCCTTTGGGTTTAAGGGCATCCAGGCAGCTGCCCTACAGGAAATGGACTGCAGGAGTGAGAAAGGAAGCAGGTCCCACAGAGGCCTGGGCTGTGGGAGGAAAGGCATCCCAGGCAGATGGAGGCTGGAGGAAAGCAAAGGACAGGCTGGGAAAACGCCTTCCTCAAGAGCAGCAGTTCGAAAAAGAAATATTAGTTGGATTTGAATTCTCAGCCATACTGCAGCTTCATCCCCCCAACCGTGACCCAAGTGTCACATCCCACACACCTCTTTGGAGGAGGCACTCAACAAAAACAAGTTGCGTTGAATGCCGGTTAGTCACTCTCACAGTACTCTTGTCTAGACCAGTGGGGAATAATTGAGAATTGACGTTTCTACCTGACAAAGCATTGGCCCTGACTCTGCAGGTGTGGTAGAGATCTCAGTTTAAATGGCTTGCTCCAAGAAAGGACAAAACAGGAGCATGAGGACAGAATTATCTGATTAGGCAATCTGGAACTCTGCCTGTTCCCTAGGCTGGGCCCCAGGCTCGTGGCAGCAGC